CGACAGAAATGACATAATTCATCGAGATGTAATGTTGCCGACCGTAACAGATGAAGTCACTCGGCTCGTAGGTAGGCATATCATAACGTTGGAAAACCATAAAACNGTAGGTAGGCATATACTAACGTTGGAAAACCATAAAAACCTAGAAGCAAGCCAATTATTTGACAATTCTGATGATCTAAGACGTTTAAACGCGTGAACTATATGACTTTGTTTAAATTAATAAATATTTATGTATATGTATACATTTTAATTATTATTTTTACCATTAAACATTAAGTCAGTGTTCGATTCATTGGAAGTGTAATTCCCATTCACGTCTGTAATTGGATGAATAATATATTGCTATATATTATACAAGAGTATATCGTAATTGTATATTTATGAATAACATTTAATTTAATTGATTTAAATCTAATATCGTCTTAATAAAAAAGTGCCTTAGGCCTGTTTAACGAAAAAAAATTAATTTAAGCCCTTTTTCTGAGACCATGGATACAAACGTATATTGAATTTTAATTTTTTATTGTTAACATACCTTCCAGGATTTGAATTTGATGAGTATGATTTTAAATCCAAAATTTTGTTCAAGTTTACTCTGAAATAATTATTATTACTTTTTATTGCAATTGAAATGTTAATAAATTATGAATACATTTATAATAATTACTTTACATGAATAACATTAAGAATTCAAATGAATTAGAAAACGAAATTTAATGTAAATAAATTAGAGACACAAATAAATAATTTTTACCATAAAAATTATATATTTTAATATTTATTTTTAATATAAAATTATATATTTAATAATAATTTAATATTTTCTTACTATATAGAAATTTACTACTCCAAATTTTTAAATATTTAAAAATTATTTTTATAAATAATTACCTGCTATTAGTAGTTTTTATTATTTCAGAAGTGCCATTTATGGATCTGGAACATGAAATTTTACTGAACATATTTTTGTCGTCATTTAATTATTTAACTTTGCATTATAACTAATTATACTTAAAATAACTTATTATATCACTAACATATTTATTGTTTTGTATTTTAATAATTGTTTAATGATTTTTACGATTAAAATATATATACATTTGAATTGACTCCATTAATAAACTTATGAAGATAATTGTATTCGTGACATATAGCGTTGACATGTTATATAAAAAAATATTATATTTATTTCCATATCCCAAAATTCTGGTGCCAACTACAAGTGACTAAATTGGCGTAAATTACTATCTTCATACTATATCGTTAATAAATGTAATTTTCATAAAAATGTACAGAATAAAATTTAATTTATTTTTATGAACTATAGTAAATACCAAATTTATTATAAGAAAAAATTAATTTCTTACTTTTGATAGATATCCCTAAAATCTACCCTTAGAAACACTTTTTTTCTTATAATACACTTGACATTTACTATGTTTCAAAAAAAAATAAAATTTGAATTTATACAATTTTATGAAAAAAATTGTTCTTTGACAAAAAAACCGTAAGGGATAGTATTCTTAATAAATCCCATTGTATAATTTTTTTCGCCATTAGGTTGGTATGCGAAATAATTTTGAAGACTGGAATTGGTGTGTCTTAAGAAATTACTAAGTACAATTGTTTTTCTCATTTTTCTTTTATACTAGGGGACATAGTGTTTGTAGCCATTGAAATTGACTTGTGGTAATACATTTGACAGATAACTAACAACGACAGGCGATGCCTAACTTCTGAGCTTTGCAGCATTTGAAGTGTCTACTGCGCCACACTATACCTTTATTATATAGGTTCAGTAAATAGAAGAACAGATTTCTATTGTTTTCATTGTTTGTAACAATTGACCCCTTACATACTGAATACCTTTATATTAAGTAAAATTAAAACTATATTAAAAATATTATTAATTTAAAAAACTAAAAAATATTAAACTCAAAGCCACAAAAAAATTAATGAAAAGTCGCGGATACGTATTTCGGAAACAATGTTACCATTATCAACGCTAAACACATACTAATATGTTTTAGCGTTGATAATGGTAACATTGTTTCCGAAATACGTATCCGCGACTTTTCATTAATTTTTTTGTGGCTTTGAGTTTAATATTTTTTAGTTTTTTAAATTAATAATATTTTTAATATAGTTTTAATTTTACTTAATTAATTAGCCACAAGTGATCAATTTTTATTATACCTTTATATTAAACTTATATATTTATAATCATAAGACATCACTTACTTTATAGTATCATACAATGAATTTACGGTATCAGTGTCCACCAAGTCAATTTTATTTATCAAAATAACATCAGCTAAGGATACTTGTCTGTAACATAAAAGTCACAAGTATTATTAAGATCTTACGATAAAAAAGTATACAGTTAATATGATTATTAAAATACTTGTTTATAATAATATTTAACCATAAATATACTTTAAAGTATATTTAATGATTATAATTATTTAATTTACTATAAAATATAAGGGAAACATTTCAATCATTTCAACACTATCCATCCTAATATTGTTAAACCTACATTTAACAATTGTACATACTAAAAAATCCACTCAGCCTCTGTGCATATAAATAATATGTAAGTTATTTATACGTTTTGACGAAGATAGAAAATCAGAAGAGGGATGCTGGTTTGGAAATTTGATTACCGAGGCGGATCTCAGTTTCCATGACACTGATTTGATTTGGATATATTATTCTGCGTCCCGTCGTTTTTGCATAATAAACCCAACAGAGCATGTTCGTAATCTATTTATACTTGTCATCAAAACGAATTTAGTCGTTTTGTGCAATTACAAAGCTCGCATCGATAACTACTCCCAAGAAAGTAAATAAATAACGACAATAAAAATCATATTACAAAAGAAGAAAACTAAACAACAATCGTAGATTTCCATCCTTGGGAAAGTAATATTATAAATTATATTTATATAGAAAAATAATTTCACAATATTAAATACAAAACTCAAAAAATTATTAATGTGTATCCTGAAAAAATATATATTTTTTTAACGCCCTTATGTGATCTAAAAGTATTTAAGTCCTTAATAAATTAGAACAAAAATATACGTGGTTTTTATGGAACTGACAACATACACTACTATTCTAATATCACAATCTTGTACTATCACTTTTTACCCTCATCGGCAGTAGCAAAAATTGTTGATTTAATACTAATAACTTTCAAAATATTAGTCTCAAAGTTGTTATCGACAGTCATTTTCTTAATAGCAATTAAAAATATAAACTGGAGGTGAAGCGTGGACGCTACTGATTTTATAATTAGTCATTTCTCGACCACAGTTCTCCTCTCGTCTGGTTACAAAAATGTAAATATTTTCTAAAGTATTGGTCCAAAAGTTGTTATGACCAGTCATTTTCTTTATTAGATCATTATTTTTATTTTATAAGCAAGTCAAATAAGCATGTTGCCATTAAAAAAATAAAATTGACACCTTAAATTATATGGGATGAACCTACAAATTATTTAATAAACAGATAAATAGATACATATGTAACTAATATACGCCAAAAAAAATTCACAATAAATTATTATTTTAAAGAAATTAAGTGGATAGCGTTAAAAGAATTACCATGTATGACATTCCACATAAATATATTTGTAATGAATTGGAAATAAACTAACATTAATTGAATTGTTTATAATATATAAAGCCTTTAGTTATTATTATAAAAATCCCGTATACACTTAAAAGTTAGGAAAGATTGTGAAACTAATTCCATAATTTAGCGTTTGTAAATAATCGTAGGTTAGAAAATTTCAAAAAATCATCAGGCGAGTCTTTAAAGTTTCATGAATATAATTATCAGACTGTAAATTAATTCATTAATTTTTTATCTCTATTTTATTTATTACAAGATAGTTATTTATAAACAATAGATTTTAGCCCAATAATATTACTATATAAAATAATAATCATTTTTAAATTGCGTTAATGGTAAAACATAAAAAAGTTTCTTCAAACAAAACACTTTATTGAATTATGTAAAATAAATTTATGTGGTTTTTATAAAAGTAGCACCTTTTAGTATATTTACATATCCATTCAATGAAAATTTTAAAAGGTAATACATTATTTTTCATATCACAGCTACATTTAAAGCATAAGAAATGTTTATAGTATAAAAGATGACTTAGGAATTTATTATACAATGCCGCAAGTCTCATACACCGGATATTAATAAATATGAGTGATACAAATATCTGTTCTATTGTACATTATGTTACATGCTAAAAACCAATTATCTACACGCCTTTGATACTCCATGTGGAAACTATAACAAGTGTATATACTGCAAAACTTTTAAAAAGACCAAAGGGTCTACTTCTTCCTTAACTAAAATAGGAATGTGTGCTTACCTAAAATCCCAAAAGGTGAATCGAGAAGATACGTATGGTAATATGAAAAGTATTCATTTTATTGCATATCTCATAAAACTACTATACAAAGAACTGTATTACTATACATTTTTTAAGTTAATATAAACTTCGTCTATACACAAGTACATTTTCAATAGTATTTAAAAATAAATAAATAAATATACTATTAATAATTTAACTATTATAATCATTTATTTTATATAAGTATTATTAATTCCATAAATAAAGGTTTTATTCCAAAAAAGGGATAACAATTGTTATTTTCAAGCTTATATAAAGAAGGATTCACCTTCTACAATATTTTTCCAAATTACATTCTACTTATAACAGTGTTGGTTATATGGTTATAATCGTAGAGTTTGGTTTTAATTTATAATATTCAGTATCAAGAAAAAATTCGTTCTAAAGAGAATGGATTCCTAGAACGAATTCCATTTTGTAGGAATGAACCTAAGAACTATTTCTATTAAAAGTTAAAGAACAGGAAATTTGAATGAATCCATTTTTATTGGAAATATGAACGAATACTACAGTTCCTTTAAATTTTGTCTATATAAAATTCTTTTCTTTGTATTTTGATATTATAAATAAAAATGTACTTTAACGTTGACTGTCAACAATATTTTTTTGCATTGAAATCTGACGACTCTAATTATACATCTGTATTATATCAACATTATACTATTACTATTACCATTTTATAATTTTAATATATCACTCTGTTATTTATAGTTTTTAATGTTATTAAATAAATTATTACACTTAAAATGTAGTATTTAAGAAGAACAGGATCATAGACGCAATCTGGTGGTCCAGAAAGAACTAAGCTCACCTAATTAAGTTACAAATCTTCATAAAAAAAAAAAAATGAATATTACATGATAATTTATAAAAAGATAAATATAAAGAGTAGAGAAATTTAATTATATCCCCTAAATATTTTGTTCAAATTGCATCAATGCACATGATGAAATATAATTTATAATGTCAATTATATAATTATTGTTATAATATTAATAAAATTATAATATTAGGTTTTTAAATATTTTTTATTGAAGAGGAAACGAGAATTTGGAGTGAGTGCCTATTTTAGGAAGTGAACAAAGAACCAATACTAAATAATTTAATGCATAATTATGAAGGCAAATTATTAGTTGTATACTACTCAAAAAGTAATTTTATGTTTTAAGCAAAAAAAAAATTAAAGCTATGCATTAAAGTTTTTAAATAGTTTAAAACTTACTATTCTAGGATAATATAAATATTAAAATTTAATTTAATCATATTTTTATTACATTTAATTTCATCTCAAGTTTATAAAGTTGAAAGCAATTATTTTTCATTTCATTTACCGTACATAATGTCTCATACCTAACTGACAACGCATAGCTTTTGATACAATTATCATGTTGTTACAATTTTTTTTTTAATAATTATTGCCTTTTATGACTATATATAAAGCATAATTTTTATTATTTATCATAAATAAGAAGAAATAAAAATCTCCTCTCTAACAACTAAAAAATAACAGTTATGAATACACTACTACTGATAAAAAATCTTTACTACATTTCTGCTATTCAATATACCTCAAACACTAAATAGCAAAATATGTTCTCCAGATTTTTTTTAATTAAAAACTCTTTTTATAAATTTTGTAATTACTTTCCAAGTTTTTTCCAATGCAATATTAAGCATCTTTCCAACTATTATACTTGAAAAAAAAATCATTATATCACATATTTTATTAATATCTCAAATTAATGCTAATGAATTACCCTCCAATTTAAATTTAAATTTAAATATATTATTTTATTTTAATATCAAGCTTATAAAGTTGAAAATAATTGTTTTTAATTCTAATCACCATATACAGGTTGTCTCAGACTTAATTAACAATATTTATAAAATTTGATACAATTATCATTTTGTTACAATTTTTATAAAAAAAGTTATTGCCTTCTAAGACTATATATAAAACATATATTTTTTTATTTATTACAAATAAAAAACAATAAAGATTTTATTTTATTTTTTGCAAAATTTCAAAATGGCTACTTATTATTTTCTTGCAATAACTTTAGATGAGTTGATAACAATTTTAATACATATACTCATTAAGTTAAAATAGAGTATATGTATGATGGCACTTGTACCAGGGTAAAGAGCATAAGAAGAGTAACAGAAGGTTTTCGGGTAGAAGTAGGAGAGCACTAAGGTTCTGCTTTAAGCCTTTACTGATTTTCTATGGTGCTGGATAAAATTACTGGAGAAATACAAGGAGAGGAACCGTGGTACATGTTGTCCGCTGACGATATAGTGTTATTAGAAGAAACTAGGAGAGAAATTAATTAAAGGCTAGAGGTGTGGAAATCAACTCTTGAAAAAAAGCGTTTAAGAATAAATATTAGTAAGACAGAGTGTATAGAGTACGAGTTTGACAAAGGTGAACATGAGGTAGGTGAAATGAGGAGATCAGTGATAATAAGCGAGGACGTGATAGGAGAGGTGGAAAGTTTTAAGTATTTAGAATAAGTTGTGCAAAGGAAAGGTGGTATTGACGAGGATGTTAGACATAAGATTAATTGTGTGTGGGTAAAGTGGAGAGTAACGTCTGGTGTCTTACTTGATAAAAAGAATTCTAATGAGGATAAAAGGTAAATTCGACAAGACTCTAGTGAGACCAGCTATTATGAGTATGTTGGTATTGACTGGGATGTAAAACATAGGATTAAGTGCGGGTGGTTAGAGTAAAGAGAAGAGTCTGGTGTGTTATGCGATAAGAGAATTCTAATAAGACTGCAAGTCAAGTTCTATAAAACTGTAGTGAGACCAGAAATTATGTATGGTTCATAGAGTTGGGTGGTTGATAAGAAAACAGAGCAGAGATGAGAATGCTTAGATGGAGTGACTAGAGAAGATCGAATAAGGAACAAACATATATGAGAGTGTATAGGTAACGTCAATTATGGATAAGGAGAAATAAATTGACTTAGATGGTTTGGTTATGTTATGACAAGAGAGGAATCAGAAGCTATAATAACAGTTATAGAAATGAATATTGAAAGAAGAAGAGATAGAGGAAGACCAAAAATGAGATTTAGGTGTGTAATTGAATGTCATATGAGGATAGCTGATGTGGAACATCATTTCAAGAGGAAGTATATAATAAGTAATTGGGATTAAGGCGAGAAAAAAGAAGAAGTACTCATTGACTCAAAAAAATTTCATTACATAGAAATGATATGAAATGTGGGCAGAGTATACATATTACAGTACAACCTTAACCCATCTTCATTAAATCCTCTCTTTATATTAAGAAAAATACTTATAATTTATTGAGTATTGGTTCTAAACANTCGAATAAGGAACAAACATATATGAGAGTGTATAGGTAACGTCAATTATGGATAAGGAGAAATAAATTGACTTAGATGGTTTGGTTATGTTATGACAAGAGAGGAATCAGAAGCTATAATAACAGTTATAGAAATGAATATTGAAAGAAGAAGAGATAGAGGAAGACCAAAAATGAGATTTAGGTGTGTAATTGAATGTCATATGAGGATAGCTGATGTGGAAGATCATTTCAAGAGGAAGTATATAATAAGTAATTGGGATTAAGGCGAGAAAAAAGAAGAAGTACTCATTGACTCAAAAGAATTTCATTACATAGAAATGATATGAAATGTGGGCAGAGTATACATATTACAGTACAACCTTAACCCATTAAATCCTCTCTTTATATTAAGAAAAATACTTATAATTTATTGAGTATTGGTTCTAAACACAATACCAAGCCACCAAAATTGTTAGCAAGAAAATAGCTAAAATATTTTTTTTCTTGTTAGTAATTATTTATAAAGAAATATGATTTAAGGTATTCTAAGAAAAGACAATTGTTATTTAAAAAAAAATTTCAACAAAATTATAATTGTATCAAAAGTTATATACATTAAAGTTCGAAACATTCTGTATAAATGCTTTAACAGCATAATACTACCACATAATTTAGTTACAAAATTATACTAACCTCAGAAAAGGATTAATAATACTTAAATTAGAATCATTAGTCACTTGATCATCAAAATTCTGAAATGTATGATTTACACATTTAAATTAATGAAAATTCTATGCTTATTTTAATTGTACTGTGTGATTTTTTATCATGAATCAATTTATTAATCAAAATATAAAAATATTGAGAATATTTTTGCTTTTGTTAGTTTTATATGTAACTTCATTTATCTGTTATAAAATATTTTTTTACAAAAATGTTGATAACATATAAATTATTAATCTACCAATTATCAACCACTCATTTGAATATAACTGAAAAATATTAGATTTAGATCATTATTAAATCATTATCTATTAAAACTTTATAAGTCATAGGAGATGAAAATAAAAATACTTCATTATTGATAAATGAGTAAAACACGTGAAAGAAACCTAAAAAAATATTCTCAATATTTTTATATTTTGATTAATAAATTGATTCATGATAAATGAATCAACTTATATAATTAAATAATTACAAAAATGCATAATTTTTGGTCAAAATATTAGTATATCTTTGGCAGTGAGGGCGGTAACATTGTTTATGAAATACGTTTACATGATTTTTAAAATTTTTAGTTAAATATTTTTAATATTTTTTAGTTTCAAATTGTTATTTTTAATGTCATTTGAATTTTACGATGTACAAAAAAATATTTAAATTATTTCTTTTTTGTATTCATTATCTTGATATAAATATTTATTAAAATTTCAAATATTTCAAAATTATTTCTTTTGTGCATGGATAAATTTAACATGAAATTATGCAAAGAATGAATCACTATAAGACAAAACTTAATTTAATTTAATTGGTGAACAAAATATTTTAAATTAAAAAGTAAGTAGCACTAATATTTAAGGTGAGTCAGTTTGATTATTTAAGTAAATCAAATTTTTAATCAAAAATATTTTTTTAAAGAATTCTTTATTTTATATAAATGTTTATGAACTTCAAATTTTCAAAAGGTCAATTTTTTCAATTTAAACCCACTTTAATTAATTTGATTATTATTTAATTTTCTATATTTTTCAAAGTTTTAAAATAAATCTTGAATTTTCTAAGTTATAGATTGTAGTTTAAAAGTGTAATTAATTAAAAAATTTTTTTTAAACTATGAATATGATTAAAAATGTAATTATGCTTGTCAAATCATGCTAGTTCACTTTGTTTGTAATAATATAAAGGTGTAAGTTTCCTTATGTTATATTCTATTTTATTTGCATTTGTCATTATAATTTTGACATAATATTTATGTTTAACATTAGTCAAATTCTAAATGTATTTTAAATCTTACTTTATTAGAATTTTTGCTATCAACGATACATACAACTCCTGTAACAAAAATAAATAATATACATGTTAATATATATACATGTTTACTTTATTATTTCATACAATAATAAGGAATGTTAAAATATTTGTGGGATATTATATTTTTTGTTTTTCTCATTAAAAATAAAATTTAAATTAAAAAAAAAAAAATATTCTATAATATCAATTCGTTTTTAACTTAAATTTTCACGGTGAAATAAGAACTAGAAAATAGTCTTATATATACTTCATTTATTTATTATTTTTAAAAAAAAGGTTTTATTTAGAAACCAGTACTTTTATATAATAATATAGACACATTATAATATTTTACAGCCCTAAATTAATAAGACTTATATTTTGAATATCTGACACTAATACTCTAACTCAAAAATATTTAAGGAAATGTCAATACATCTTACCATCTAGGTGAACATCACTACATAATTCACTATCTATCCAGAATAACTTAGCAATTGGTCCTAAAACATATTAACTTAAGTTTTTAATTGGGTTTTTTTAAAATTACTTTATGTATTTTAATATGATACCAGGATCAGCTATCCCTGTAGTTTCTAATAATATATAATCAAATTTTCCACGCTTTAACATTAAATTTTCTATGGCCTTAATACCATTATCTTTTACAGAGCAACATAAACAGCCATTTTGTAATTCAAGCCATTCTTCACATAGATTTCCCTTTTCACCTATAGCTATAGATTTTTCCATTGTATCACCTAATAAAAATAATCTAATTAATTGTTTAAGCTGGTGACTTATATTAAACAAATAAATGTTTTATCAATATAACATGTATTAAGAAAATTTATTAACAATAAATTTTTTTTTGGCTAAGTTGTATTAATTTTTCTTCTTAATAACTGAATTACTTGAGATAATGTTAAATGTTTCTTGATATTTATAAGGAAATAAGTCAGATTTCCTTTAACTTATTCTGTATCACCTACTTTAAATAAACATCAACCCAACTACATTATTTATAATAATTGAATAAACATCCGTTGCATTATCACATAACATAAAATAATCAATGAAAAAACAAAAATATTGTAACAGTTTAGTGTAAAATAAAAAAATTGTCAGTGTATTTACATTATATTAAATCTCTATGAAGACTGTTATAATATCAACTTTTAAATTTTGATAAGTTAGGCCACTATTGCGCTCACCCTCTTTATTTATATACAGATTGGTTCACAATGTTTTGACAAGTCTAATAACTTTTCATGTACTAAATATTTTGAGTTTTTTTTAAATAATGTATGCATCCTTATGAATGTATTAAATGGTTATAACTCAATAAATTGTAATCTTAAAGTAATAATTGACCCGTGAAATTTTTTGTAATTAAAGGGCTAAAATGTGGTTTATTTGAAATATGATTTTATCTTAGTCTCTCCCTCCAAAAAAATGTATGAAAATTATTTAAAAATTTTATGAGGAGATTCTTTTAACACTACCCACTTTTGCTACTGTTAGTTACACATTTTACCTATATTAATGTAAAATTTATTATAAATATAATGTAAAAGAATAAATCTTTAAAAAAAAAAAAACATTTTTTTAGTTTACTTAAATTTTTTTACCATTTAGGAATTATGATTTTAATAAAATATCTATTTAAGGGCAACAGTATAAAGGGTTGTTGTATTATGGAGGCACTCAATTACTTCATGAAGAAAAATTGTTTGGATTTTTTTCAACTTCAAGAAAACTACAAGGGCTTTTATTTAGTATATATTTTAAATGGTCATTTATGTTGTTGTCTATAATATTTTTTTTTATGGAAAGAAGTCAGTTATTTAAAAAAAAACAGTATTTCTACTTTAATCATAAAAATTTTATTTGATTTAAATTTTTTTAGAAAAATAAAGTAAAATAAGGGGTAAACAAGTCAACATCAAAAATTTTAATAATTATCAGTTTTTAGGATATTTTCCTGAACAAAAAAATTTCAGAACAATTTTTTTAATTTCTGGTTTACTGTGCTTTGTCACAATAAAAAAAATAGTCTCAGGTACAATAATTTTGTTATTTTTGACTTTAAGCTTTATGTTGAACCCGTAAAATAACATTNTGTGCTTTGTCACAATAAAAAAAATAGTCTCAGGTACAATAATTTTGTTATTTTTGACTTTAAGCTTTATGTTGAACCCGTAAAATATGTAAATTAAATCAGATTTACATAATACTCATTGAATAAACAAAAAAGTTACTAACAATTTGCTTAGAACATAATTACTGATAATACAATTAATTTCACTGAAAATAACCAATAAATTAGTGTTCAAAAACATAGGAAACATAACTAATTATAATATTAATATAAAGTTTAATATATACATTAAATTCAAAAAAACCTATTGAACATAAGTTTCTCCTACAGTACTAATATTTTAGTAAGTAAAATAAAATATATTTAAACTATTACCTTCGCCAAATTCATTTAATATAACAGCAATTTTTTTATTATGTTGCTCAGTGAGTATATAATTTAATAGTGTTGTTTTTCCAGAACCTAAATAACCAGTAATCAGGGTAACAGGGACAGGTTCTAAAATAACAGCATCTACCAATGAAGGAATTTCTTCATCTGAATCCATAAATTTATACTTATATCTATACCTACCAAAATTAAAAGAAATATTATAAGGTCGATGTTAAAAAAAAATTGAAAATTACATTTAAATCTCACCTTACAATAAATAACTTTTTTTGAAAGAAACAATTTTTTTTTATAAAGAAATTAAGAAATATGATTTGCCGTTAAAAATTGTGATAACGATGTTTAAGAGATAAAATCATATGATATGAAGTTCTTAACATATATTTATATAAATAAAGGACCATCTAGTAAATTAAAATCAATGTTATTTATTTTGCTTACTAGATAGCGCTGTTATGTATATGAATTTTAATAAATACGGTAGCAAACATTTTGTTTTATGAATTTTTCAATTTTATTAATTTAATTAGAAATTTTTGGATTATATTTGCATTTAATTTTTATGAACAAGTTTTACTTAACCCATTCTTAGGAATTAAGCATTTTTTAAAATTCTATTCTTTGATATGAAGCTGAAAAGACATTGATTGATAAAATATGTGTAAATTTTAATTTATTGTACTTATACCCAATATTTGATAAAGTAACTTCATAAGAACTTTAATTTGTTGAACTCGTGGATAGTCTTATTAATATTATATCTTCATAAAAAATAAATGTCTTTTTATCCATATTTTCAACTTTTTCTTGATTTTTATTTTTTTAGCTAATTTTTCTCCTAATATTTAGAAAAGCGTCAAGTTTTTAAATTTTGATCACTATTACAAAATAACTCCCCCAGGGAACTCTTGCAAGAGTTAGTGTTATGGGCTTAACGAACCCGGGACCCCGAGCAGTGACGTATAGAAATTAGCTCATCCATAGTCCAGCATTAATTTTACTGCAATACCCTCTACCTTAACTCAATTAATTGGCTAGGGTATGGATCCTCCAAGATTGGAAGTTGAGCGATGAGCTAATAACTCGTCCTCAGAAAAAAAAACAACCAATACAAACGTTTCGTAAAATGTGGAGATACAAGACATGCAAATGTAAAAGAGCTCTGGAAGAACGAGATATTGCCAAAATTCCATTAATACAAACTTCTAACGAGTCTAACCGAAGAACTCTATCAATAAAACAACGAAAAACTGAGAAGATCATAAGAGTAAAAAAAAAACAATACGTAAAGAGCTACATAACGTCATTGAGATAAATTTTAATTAAAATATTAAACAAATACAAAATAACGAATAACGAATAACATAAAAAAACTGATACAAATTGAGAACGGCTATCATAAAAAAAACAGATGATACACTAATTACAGATAAAAGCGAAATAACTAAAAAATATAGAGACATTTTTGAGATGATCTTACTAAAATTAGGATAAGTAGAGTCTGTAGATCAATATATGACAGAATTACGACAGTAGAACAAATGATACATGAACAAATAACGGAAGAAATAGAAAATGCCATTGAAATAGTAAAACACTCGGAGAAGACAACATAACAACAGAATTATTAAAAATAAGTGAGAAAACTGTAATAAAAAAATTAAAACAAATTTTTATAAAAGCAGGGAAAAGGAGATAACCGAAGATTAAAGTTTTTCGATTACATGAACACTGGTAAAGGAGTCAAATTACCAGAATCTAAAATTATTAAACAGATAACATATGCTGATGACATAGTATTACTATTCTAATCTTTCCGAAAAAAAAGTCGAAAACATTTTTGGTGCATGATAGAAGTTCTCATGGGTGAGAGTAAACAATTGGATTTAACTATAAACAAAGTACAAAACACTGCCACAGAAAAATAATAATTTGTTATTAAGAGATATGAAGATCAAGCGGATCAAAAACTTCAAATATCTAGAGGTAGAATTGAACATATGGTGCAACAAAACAGAATAAACTCAGCTAAAAAGTGCTTCTTGGGATTAAAGATAATATTAAAATCTAAATTAGTCTTAATCAGATCTAAACTAACTCTATACAAAGTAATGATACGTGCTATAAACATGTGAAACCAGAACCACAACAAAGCTGACAAGCAGGGAAAAAATTTATTTTATAAATTTAAAAGTTAATCGACCTAGATAGCAGTCTTCTTGTTATAAGAAAGCACAGTTCATATTCGCAACAATTACAAATTTGAGATCTTAACACGTAGGGAATGAGATATAAACAGCCTAACTAGAAAAGGAGGGATTGTAATTCACAGACACGGTTCCAAGAAATCAGGAAAGGTAGGTACTGGTATTTGTGGTTTAAAACTTTGCATAACTGTTAATATGTCAATCACCCTCTGCGTCCCAAGCACAGCTAATGGCAATACCAGAATCTTCTAGTAATCAAGTGAAGAAAATTATCTATCCTAAGTGATTGTCAAGCTGCTATGAAGGCACTTAGAATAATCATGTGACTTCAAGGCTAGTTCTTGAATGCAATGAAACTTTAGAATCACTATCAAGATTCAATAAAGTTACACTAACATGGTTACCAGGACAAAGCGGTGTAATTGATAATGAAAACACTGATTTACCTTGTGTGTATATATATGTATATATATATATATATATATAGTATATTTGATTGATTGTGTTTAATTTTTTTGCAAATAATGTAGAATTAAACTAACATTTTTTTTTGATTTTTGAGTTTTGATAGATTAACTTGAGGCAAAATGACGCTGAAGGTAAAATGATTAATTATCAATAAATTATGATTTTAAAATATGGTTAAACTGTTTACTGTTTATCAATTTGTTATAATCATTAGTTAATGCCCCAGGTTAATTTAATACCTAAAAATTCAAATATACTTAAAAAAAAATTACAAAAAAATTTACGAAAAAACAAATTGTATTTTTCAAACAGTTTTTAAAAGATTTATTCACAACAGTAATTATTAGTGATGGGAAATATCGAATAGTAACTATCGAACTATTCGATAATCATTCAAAAACTATTGTATAAATGAATGGTAAAAATATTCGATAGTTATACAATTTATTTGAATAGTTCTTAAAATTATTCGATAGTTTATGCTAAAAATAAACTATTCGGTTGTATAATAACAATTCGAATAGTTATTCGATAGTTTAAAATATTCGAAAATGCCCATCACTAGTAATTATACTTACAAATAAAAATAAAATTTCTATGATACAGTAATAATTGATTGTTGTTAAAAGTTGTTACATAATTTTTATAAAAACAAAAGTAAATTTGCTTTATATTAAAATATACTATAGATAGATAAGTCGTTTTTTTTATATAACTCTGTACACCATATTAGATTTAAGTAAATTTTCAACAATGAATAAAGCAATTTCTATTATATTAACTTCTGTACAAGAGTTAATTTTCAAAAAAGTGTAATTATCCTGATTTTATAACTACCATACGATTGGTATGATATTAATTATATTATAATTACTTATTGCAAATAAATTAATATATAGAGTGTTCAGTAAATAATGAAACAGATCAATTGTTAAAAACAATAAGAAAATTAGAAACTTGTTTCCTTATTTACTGAACACTATACATATTTTTCGGTTTAAAACAAATTCAATTTTATAAATGTATATTATTATTAAAAATTTGATCTTGGGAAACAGCTTATTATGTTTTATAATTCTTTTAACAAAAATTAATTACAATATTTAATAAATTTAAGGTTTTTTTAGATTGATATTTATAAATGGAATGTTAATAAAAACGAGCATTAGTCACTTTTTATAACTTTTCAGGAGATATAGATAACAAAATATTCTTATTCGATGATACATGTAACTTATTAAATTGAAGTAATAATATAATTACAGTTAGACTATAAAAAAAATAGTATTGGTAACATTCGATCTAACGAAAAATTTTCTAAACACGTTAGCAATAAAAAAGTCAGACATTGGCTCCATTCTTTTTGTACTCATACAAGCTGAATAAATTATTAAAATATAAGTTTACAAATTTTATACAATATATTTTATTAGTAGTTAAATATTTACATTTTATATAAAATATCAATAAATAATAAAATTAGTTTTTTTATTTACATTTTTAAAATTTATTTTCATATTTATATTGTAGTAATTTAAAGTTTATAAAAAAAAAATATTAAAACATTTATTCATTCCAATAAAAATTAGTGATCCCATATGAATGACCCAAAAATCTTTGGTTGATGCTGAATTCGAACTTTTATGCCGTTGAATCGCTGCTGTATTGTCAAACTCTAAGTCAAATAATTTATAAATAAAACAGAATTATTTACTTTATATTCTAGTAAATGAAGAGTCTAGAGCAACAACTTGATATATTCACTTTAAGACATTTTAAAAGAAAAGAAACTTATTGAAACATTTTCGATTACTAGAAATAGTAAAATGCTTTATCATAGTTAACTCCATAATTAATATAAGTATAAAGATATTTTTTAAATTGAATTACACAAAAAAAAAATAATAATTCAAATCCAGCAAAAAATGATTTTCTGAAAAAATAGATACCATGTTGTTGCACAGACTTTTAGTTTTGTATTGAAGGAGAACTTTTTCAAACAATAATTATTGTAGTATAAATAGGTTGTACATATTTTAATAAATTTTTTATTAAAAAACTTATATTCAGTTCAAAATGTGAATAAATTAGTAAAATATTTTAATAAAACATTTTTTTAATTATTTATAATGTTTATATTTAAGATAAATTTTTACTCTTAACAATTATTGTTAGAAGCTGCGTTATCTTTTAGTACATTAATAATTATATATTCTTAAATATATAAAAAATAAAATAAATGTATATTTTTTAGTAAAGTAGAATAATAATAAAAGGGTTGTCCTAGTTAACAAACGCTAGTTAAAATAAGTTGACTTCTAAACTTCTCAAGATTACAATAATTACGAATATGGGCACATTTTTAAGCTAGAAAATTCATGTGTTAATGATATAAAACAAAATATTAAAAACATTAAAATAACATTTATGTTTATAAAAATAAGATAAAATAAGAATGATGAAATTAAAAATTAAAAATATCTAAATTAATTTTCCAATCTGAAATTAAGACTAGCTGGGTTAAAAAGTTCCACTATACAAGGTGATTGATTAAATATGCCCCACGCATATCTTTAATATCAATATCTTTAAAAGTATAAAATATAATATAATTTTTTCTTTTTAGAAATCAATATATTCTCTATATTTTAAAAAAAATGGCTCTAACCCTCTCCTATTTAAAATAGTACCAACTTAAGTTTTATAAATGGAAACTTATATGTATAATTAGCTTAAAATTAAGAAAATGAGTAGTCAATAACAACTTTTAAACTTGTATTTTAAAAGATATTATTGCTTTTATATTAAGACGGGAGGAGCAGTGTGGGTCTGTTAATTTGATCTTAGATCATTTAAGAACTGCACTTCTAACAGTCAGTTTCAAAGTTAGATCATTTTCATATTCTTAAACTAACTAAATCTATATATTTCAATTAAAAACATTCTTGTTAATAAATCGCCATATAGGTTCAATTTTAATCTGGCAAGTTGAAACAAATTTTATTTCAATATTTTTATTTCAAAACACAAAAATGTGAACAATGAAAAAATATATTTATATTGTTGATCTCATACTCAGGTATAAAAAATGATCAAGTGTGATAACATGTATAAACACCGCATAATACCATAATAGATAAAAGTCGAATTGAAAAAATAAATATTTAAAAAGTTCCTTAATAAATTAAAAAGTGAATCCATTTTTATAATTGAATAACTAATTAATTATAAAAATATTTTAGTCGATTTAATTAAGTAAAAATATAACAATCAATTTGAACGCCCGTAAAAGAACTACGTTTATATATTTTGAATTATTATTATTTTTAATTTACATAAGATACAAAAACTAATTTTTCTCAAAACTATATAAAAACAATTGATCATTTGTAATACATGGGCAACGATATATTGTTTGAAAACCTTGTTATTTTTAATGTTTCTTACTCTGATTTAAATATTCTTCAAGAATAAAAAATATATAAATTGTATTGCAATAGTCCCGATCTCCTGTAGGCATTTCGAGTAGCTATATAATCAAATAGTTTACATATAAAATCTCAAAAATACCTGGTGTAATATGTATATAAGTAGAATCAGGATCAGTGTTAGGAGGTTTACAAGTATAATTTCCTGAGTCCATTTGAATTGCCTTGATGATTGTCAACTTGCTTTTTATTTTGTTTCCAATTTTTCCTGTATATTCTGTGGTGACGGATACACGATCTTTATTTATTTCATTTTTGTGTAATTGGTCAGGAGAAATTAATTTTTCGTTGTGATACCACATAACAAGTTGCGGTGGAACTGAGCTCTAAAGATATCAAAATTATAACTTAGTAAATATTTCTAATTGTAACATTAATAATAAATAATAGAAATTTTCTATAATCTAACTCTCTCTGAAAACTTTTACAACTAACTTATTTGACATGTATAATCTAGCTAAAAATCAAATAAAATTAAAAAAAATGACTTTATCATATTTATTTAATTAGGTTGACATGCATCGATCCGATATTTGGACATAATTTATGAGGAATTTGGGACACTAAAACCCCACATTACGAACAATTCTTACTTGTTATTAAATGAGATTAAAAATAGAGAGATAAAGAATTATTTATTCAAAACTTTCGAAATGATAATCTATACATAATGCATCCACTATATTATATTATAATGTGGTATTAGAAACAGTAATCTATATTTTAGCAATATGAATTATACTAAAGAATAAAGTTGAACATTATCGTTATAGACAATAATAAGGTCTACAATATGCTTGAAAATTAAATTAATGGACTTTTAGTATTATAATTTATTATTACATTTGGGGGGGGGGAGTTTTTTGCATTTTGTATAACGCTATTTAATTTTGACTAAAATGTTATGCATATAGCAATATTTTGTAAAATGAGTCTCATTATTGTGTATTGGAAATTACAGCCAAATATTTTAGTTTAAATAATATGTAATTCTATAATTAATAACGTCGATCAGTATATCATCAATACTTGCTTAATTATCGATAAAAAAAGATATGATACAATTTGATGAAGATTCATGAATTCTTCAAATAAAGTATTGACATTAATATTATTAATTACACTAATTACTAACTGTTTTATACTATATTTGGTACATTTTTGTATTCTTTATGAAGTTTATAATAATAAATAAGTAATTAAAACATGTTAATAACACTTTTAGATGTCAAAAATTATAGTACTACTAAAATTTAACAGTTACCTATCCACTTATTTGTTTTATTAATCTATTAAATTCGAAAAGTTAATTAATATTACAAGTTTGTTGGTAAGAAATATAGTTATTCAATTTACAATGGTTGTAATAAATTATCGAAAAGAAATATGACTTTATTATCCTATATTTATTCCAAAAGATAAAATGTAACCAAAAACACGAGTATCGAACTAATAGAATTATTGATCATAATTATTGTAGAAACAAATGTCAAGTTTAGTAAAAATGAACAATTTAACAAACCATTTTCTTTTCTATAATATTATATTGTAGAAACAAATGTCAAGTTTAGTAAAAATGAACATTTTAACAAACCATTTTCTTTTCTATAATATTAAATATTAATATTATTCTATAATATTAATTATTAAAGCTATATTTTTATTTAATTTAGGTCTTAATGAATTGATTTAAACTTTAATTTAAAGTATTCAAACTATATAAAAATCATAATTTATTAACATGTGTAAGCATAAAATACATCTTACATCAATTTATGCATAAGTTTTATAATTATCATAATAATACATTTCATCTCGAGAATATATCTTACATTTTCAATAATGCATATCAAACTTATTGAACTCCCTTCTCCAATGTGATATTCTTCACTGCCCATTATAATAGCAGTTGGCACACTTATAAACAGATTAAAGTAATGCGTCATGATTCCAGTACCAGTACCAACCTGCAATAAAAAGTTCCAAAACTATTTCAATAACATTATGTTAATAAATATAGACTGTAGCAATGTAGCTATGAACAATTTAATTAATTTTACTAATTGAACAAGCTTTAGTCACGAAAAATAAAACTCGAATCTATTATGGAACATATATTAGTGGAAATATTTTAAAACGCAAATGATAAAACATTATATTGCTGTAGGAAAATTGCTAAAACAAATAAAAACAATGAATTTAATTTTTTTGAATCGAAATTATAAATAAATATATAAAAACAAATTTTTCTTACAATTTCAATAGTTTTTTAAGATCTAATTAATCCATAAGTAAACTTTATAGAGAACGGTAACTTTATTATCTTACTAAATTTTGTTAGCTTTTATATTTTAATATTAAATAAAGCCTTTGTATCATATGTGTTTACTTAATAATTATATTTTGTGTTAATAAATAATTTAATGACTATTTTTCCGGAGGATTGACGCAATGGCCCTTCCAGAATTGAACGCAAGACAACATTTAAAACCAAAACCAACAACATACTTTTTTCATGAAAAATTATAATATATTATAATAATAATTAGAAATATATTATTAATATATTTCTCTCTTCAATAAAAATAAAAAGTTATTTTTAATTTTCTATTTTTTTTTTTTAAAGGGTAGATCTGTATTTTTATCTCCAATTATGCCTTTGCTCATCACTATAATTTATAACTTTTTAATCATTTTGTAATTATAAAAAAATCATGAAGTAAATTTTTCACACAAATTAGGAATTGATCTAATAATGGACAGTTAATGGTTCAATTATAACGTATTTATATACATTCATAAATTTTGTTAAGTTATTCCAAACATACCATTATTACATTTACAAATTTGAATTAATAGACAAGAAAACTTAGTGATGTGATCTAACTGGGGTTATAGTTTTAGTATAATTAAAAGGATATACTGCCTTTAGAACGAAAATTATTTATTTGTTTTCTTTATAAATGTTATGAAAAAATTGTTAGTATAATATACTTCAATGGATATATTAAATTTAGTAGCATTTTATTTTTCCTGTATTTTATATACATTTAACAAAGAAGTCTTTAGAATTTTACGTTCCATGACGAAGAAAAAAAAACAACCCTCGCTCAAATTTCTTCAGCAATGTATTTGTAAAATAAAAAAAAATCTATAGTATGTCTCTTATTTTCAATTAATTTTTTTTACTATTTGAAGAACCTACGTGTAATGCCACACATAATATGTAATAATGTACTTTGTAATATTATAAAACATTAATGATCTGAAAAAATGAAGGTAAACATTTATGTAAAAATTACCATGAAAATTAAGCTCAGATAATTTCTATTATTATTAAGTATACAAGCATACACTATCATTTATTATTCATCCAATATTATTACCATAAATTATTTCATTAAGTTATTGTAACATATAATTATAAGCTATTTGAATAATAACAACTTGTTGTTTTCGAATAAATTTTATAAATTGCTTAAGATTTGTATCTCATTAGAAATACACTGTAGCCTATTAATTGACGAAATTAAATTAATTTAAGCTTGATTCTCTTAGTGAGCAACATAATTTATCATTTTATACATTAACGAATATACATGTATAAGATAATCCGACGACAAAATACCTTCAAAAGTGTTAAGTAAAATATAATTTTAGCTTCGATGCGAAGCTGAGAAGGTATTGGTTTTACTATGATGTGTTTTTTTTTTTTTTTTTTTTTTTTTTTTTTTT